ACTTCCAGCCTCCCACCCCGGGGCATCGGCTGATCTGCTCATTACCTGGACTGCACCCACGCACTACCGACACACAGAGCGGCGCAGTCCAAGTGGAAAAGTCTCCCTGGGAGGTCTGACGAAGACCGAAGCAAAACCCCACTTTCTCTAGGCACCTGAAGAATGGCTACTGAACTTTGCAGAACTTTTTTTATTTTTTTATTTTTTTTACTATGTAGATCATATACCAGTTGCCATAAAACACTGGGCTGCTTGCATTGTGGTTGACTCTGGCAGTTATGCACCTGCAGCCTACAAGCTCTTGGCGTCGGCTACAAAGCTCTCAAGGACGCTCAGAACACGCATACAATGCTTGCGGTACCCATATGTTGAAACGACTAGCAACCCAATGGTTATTATTGTTCTTGTTTCATATTAATTTTTTTGGGGGGGGTTCTACGGCGAGTACCTAAATTTCACCATTGAGCCATGCTATAATTTATGTTTAGGTTTGGCACTCAAAGCATCTGAATATTGCACAGACATCTTAGCTTAGCCTGTGATCACTGGTTCATATCTTATATCTCATGGTTACTTCAAGTTAACTCCTGCGTAACTATTAATGTACAATTGTACTAGTCTCATTACGTGCCCCCACCCTGTTTGGATGCATCATAGGCTCTGCTGGCCCGTAGCTGGGCAGTGGGACATGACTAGCCATCTTATATCAATATTGACCGCTTGCAATGTCTGACCACAAATAGTAATAGGAACTCAAGCTCAATTGTTTCAAGCAGCATGTATAGCCAGATTACTACTCTCATTTTACTAAACCTGTCTGAGCTTACCTTTAAACTTATCTTTGCACTATATTTTAATGACAAAACGGGATAGCCATGCTGATGACTGGTATAACTATACGTATAACACTGTGCATTTCTCATGCCACTGCCCAATTTACGTACAACCTCAATGCTGTTTATAAGCTAAAATCATGCGAAAGGAAAAGGGAAACAGAAAAAAAAGGGAACAAGAAAAGAAAAAAAGGGAGCCCACTGCCAGAACTCCTAAAATGTACCATGCAGCCGGAAGAGGTATATACTCCTACCTTGCTTAAATTGCCATCATCAGGTCTACAACCAAATTTAGCTACTTCCCTTCACTAGTCACTCCAGACTTATACTGTCTAGCCTGTTTAGCCTGCGGGATATATATAACTTAACAATGTGCCACTATATTACTCCACTACATTACTTCGGTCACCCATGTTTTTCCTCCATCAGTGTTGTGAGGCTTAATCGTTCTTACTAACTTACCTAACACGACTCGTCACGAAGACACTCTCTGCCCAGACAAACAAGTGTTATGTTTAACTAGTTACCATACTTTAAATATAAAATTTCATGCTGTTCTCTCAAATGATGCAAAGCATTGTCTCTAACAGTCCTCAATGTCAACCTACATGTATCATTGAATGTACTGCAAATCCTCACATTTGCTGTTGTGGCAATGCAGGATGTATTGTAATCTCATGCACATTCAAAATAAAGAATTTATAAAAAGTCTGATATGATCCTACTCACGTTTTTAAGAGTTTAGGAACTAGCTCTAGTATGAAGTGCGTACAGTGGTATAATCCCCACTTGCAGGATTCGTGAGATAGTATAGATACTGTCTTGTTTGAAGGAGGGTCATATGAAATATAAAAGGAACAGCAATAGTGCTCTCTATTTAAAAATCAGGAGTACGAAAATTAAAATAATTACTCACATTTACATAAGCAGGCGGACTGCTCAATGTATAGACCTTGAGTGGTATAATCCCCACCTAGGATTCTTTGGAGTAATGTCTCACTGGAACAGGATAAAAACTCAGAAGCAAGGTAAAAAAAAATATAAAAATAAAATAGTAAAATGACAACTCACAGAAAGGAAGTGGCCAAAATATCTTTAATAAAATACAATGCAGTTATTAAAATGTCCACAATGCGTTTTGCCAGCAGGCTTTATCAAGTGGAAATGCAGAGAACATAACCTGGCAAGCATGGGTTTATAAAGGGAATAAGACAGCTTGCGTAATTAAAATGGCACCTAAATGACCTCATAATTACATAATTAGTATATTAAAACAAAGTTAGAAATTCATATATTAAGAAACAGAAGTGTGTGTGTGTGTGTGTATATATGATTGAAATAAATAAGTAGTAGTAGAAAATGCGGGTTGTGAAAGTATATTGAAGGAAAGGAGGTCATGTGATCAGCGGTCATTTTACGCGAAGGATCATGAGGACTGTAGTATAGCCACCAGTATTGTCCGAGTGATGAAAAAATGGGTGAGTTTATAGTGTGACCCTCCTATACGTAGACAGATGCGCGTTTGTGTGCGGCGCAGGTAGGGGGGCATGTCCTAATGATGCAAACTTCAAAGGGAAGACACCAGTACTAGCGTGGATGCGCTTCCTAATGATGCGTTCTAATGACATGAGTGACTGGGGGTGTGTGTATAGGGAAGAGGGAGGGGAGAACGATGCTAAGGTAGGGTAGGGGGGCGAGGTTAGGGGGAGAATATATTTGGGGAAATAGTATAGACAGAAGAAAGTTGCTTATATATAGGAAGCAATGTTAAAACAGATGCATATTTGCAAAATATGGTGACACAAGCTGCTTATATATGAAGCAATTGTGAAACAAATATATATCTGCAAAATATTATAACAATTAAAATACCTATTTTAAATACAAATATATGTAAAAATATAATTATAAAAAAAAAAAAAAAGTTAAGATCAAAGCAGAATAAATATTCCAATTGGTCCTGGGATATATAGGATGACAGGATATTAAGTAAAATATATGTCAATATTATGACAATCTGTTAATACAATTAATGTGAGCAATGTATAGTTATGAACTATTAAAGGAAATTAAAAAGATCGAAGTCAACATTTAGACTGTCTGCTACAAGAGTTTTTAAAATAAATACCCAGTTCATTTCATTTTTTCCAAATAGTTTTTTAAAATCACCATGGAGTTTGGCATTATTTCATACCAATACATTTTAAGTGTTTCAGATTTTTATTGTGTGTGATGAAATTATTATATATTTTTTTTAATTCTTTATTTTTGCTTGCAAGAGGATTACAGACATGCAGGTTATGCCACAATAGCAGGTACCTGCAAATTATAGCTAACAATATATGGCATAGGTTGAGACTGCACAATTTTAAAGTAAAACGTTCAGGCTTAACGAGAGGTAAAACGGTAGGTATGTCAGTAGGTAGTCTATATCGAGTATGGAAGATCATAATGTAAGCCGACAATAAGTTTAAATCTGCAGCGTGTATACTGATATTCTAATGAGGTAGTGGCATGAAAACGGTGCACATTTGCATTTCAAAAACCAGGCTTAAACTTTCCGGTATGTCACAGAGTTAAGAAAGTAAGTTGCAAGAGTAATAAGACATGCGTGTGTGTAAGTTTAAACAAGTATGGAGTTAACTACGCACATTTTTGAGGATAACAAAAGTAGTACATGTTTAAGCAATAAATCCAGTATGGGACAAGGAGAAAAGGATAAAATAGCGTCAAGCTTGGTCAAGTAGGTAATATTAGATAGTTTGATATGACTAGGTAGTACCTTTACGTATGTAAGCAAGCTGGTGCTGTCACATATGAGAAACACGGAAGCTCATTAGCATTGCTTATACAACATAGGGTATGATCTCAAGGGTATTCAGTAAAGGATAATTGAGTTTTATACAGTAGTATTTTGGGGAGGTTTCCCTATTACGCTAGCCCTGGGTGCCCTCTGGTTGGGGGTATGCTGAGGCCTTGCATAGTTTGTTGTGCAAGTGGTTAAAACATGAGAACTATACAAAAGTCCCAGGGTGTCCCCCTATGCCCCTCATTTTAGCCTAAGCCTTCTGGGGCGACTGTCCAGACCTGTACTCCATCCAAGAACACATTCCTCACGGGTCCCAGTCCCGATGTGAGGTTTCTCCGCTTATACCTGTGGGTACATGCTGGATAGTGACCGGATCTGCTTGTCTGAGTCGGTCAGGTCCGGCGTGGGTATGAGTGCAGGCTCTTCATGGCTTTTGTGCCAGGCTTTGGTTTGGGCTGGGATGAGGCTGGTTTCAGCCTGCGTGGGATTTTGGTAGCAGTCTTATGTAGACGCCCTGCTGGTTTGTGTGTCGCTGAGGTGTCTCACTGTTTTCCGCGCCATTTTCCGGCTTGCCATTTTCGGCTTGTTGTGCCACTGATCCGTGTGCGAGAGGGCATCGCCTGCGGTAGGTGCTCGACCCAAGTGTTTGCTGCAGCTTGTTTTTCCTCCATCTTGTGCCAGAATGCTTCAAATAAGGCATCCAGTCTCTCCAGGATATCTGCCTTTTGTGTTGTGGTGAGTGACTCTGGCCCAGTCACCGCCATTTTGGGGCTGGGTCGACTTGGCTTGGTTTGCTGCCATATCATTCGAAGGAGCCCTCCTGGGACTGGGATAACCCCCACCGGTCCATAGGGTGGGGAACGTGGGCCCAATTTCACTCTGCTAGCTGTCAAGGGCGACGGGGGAGTGGCCGCCTCCCCCGCACCAGCCATGCTGGTAGGCCTTGGTCTGTGTTGCCAGGTTTCTGTGTTGCCAGGTTTATTGTCCCTGTGGGACACGTCATCAGCCCACACTAGACAGACTGTGAGATTCCCGCACATGCCCAGTGAAACACCTGGACATGCGAACGGGAATTTCATCTATTAGTTCATTCATCAGACAGACGCATGAATGAATAGAAAGATCAGCCGGGGCGTGGCTCGACCGCAGATGGAGTAAGTCGCACGCTGCACTCGCTCCCAGGCCCCGACCTGCTTAAGCCCAGACCCTAAGCAAACTCTGTGGTCCTCATGGGGAAACCCAAACGAGCTGGGACCCCGAGACATCCACCCTCACCCCACACGAGCCAACAACCCGGTTCCATGGACGAATTCCTGTCCACTCCTCAGAACCTCAGAGGCACACGTGGCGCGGACAAGATGGCGCCCTCCTCCCCGAGCAACAGCAGTGTGGCAGGCTCCATGAGCGACACGCCTGGCACTGATGCACTGACCCAGATGTCGATCGACCTGGCTGCTATATCCGCCAACATGCTCACCTGCGGGGACAAAACGGCCCTGGTTTCGGAATTGCGCTCTGTCATCCGGGAAGAAATAGCCGCGGTGCGCAGAGACCTAACGGCACTGGAACAGAGGGTGGATGAATTGGAGGAACACCGCCTCCACACCACACACTACCAGCAAGCTACAGATTTGGCAACCGCACGGCAGGGGAACATACTCCTCGAGATGCGCAGACAGGTTGAAGACCTGGACAATAGAGGCCGCCGCAACAACATACGAGTGCGGGGCCTCCCCGAGACCGAAGACGAATCCCCACGGGAACTGCTGACGGGCCTCTTTGTGCATCTTCTCGGGGATGACGCCCCCCCGAAATACCCATGGAACGAGCACACAGAGCATTACGTGGCCCCAGGAGTGATGGACAACCCAGAGATATGATTTGCTGCCTCACATCGTTCCAACAGAAAGATGCCATTATGAGAGCGGCCAGAGCCCAGCGCTCAATTGCTTACATGGACTCCCAGGTAATGCTGTTTCAGGACCTATCGTCCCTCACGCTCGATGCCAGATGAGCGCTGAAACCCCTAACAACCATGCTACAAGAAAGACGGATTCCCTATAAGTGGGGCTTTCCGTTCAGCCTGCAAGCCAGGATTGATAACCGTTGGCACACACTACGCTGACCAAAAGATGTCCCCCGATTTCTTCAGTCCGCAGGACTGCCACATGTCCACGTACAGAACTGGATCCTTGAAAATCCACCTGCTCGCCCAACCGGGCCCTACCCTGTGGCGGAGAACCTGATGGGGGGACGCGCTGCACCACCACCGCGGCGCCGAGGCGGCCCCGACGGCCCAGAAGAATAGCAACCTGAGGCACTGAAGCCGACCTCCCATACCAGGTATCAAAGGCCACCTCCTAGGCCGACCCGTCCACTTAGGGGGACACGAAGTAACTGTCATTAGCAAACAATAGCGCTTACCTGTCCACCCCTAGCCCCCAACGATCTTGGCCCTGGGTGTGAAGTGAATTGAGGAGTTAGGCCGCTGATTAACGGGACTGGGACTCATACCACATCACAATGGCAACTTGGGACTGGGGATGGCACCGGGGGTGGGATGCCTGGGGGAAACCAGCCACATGGAGAGCCCACTAGAAGGGGGCGACCGAACACGCGGGGTGGGTCATGGAGAGATGGACTGTTTGGGAGGGAGGTCTGGGCCGCAAATTTCAGAAAAATGCAGGCACATGGCTATACTGCCTTCTAGTTAGATAGCTCACGCACGAGTCATAATCACTGAGGCTGATTGCATGTATACTGTGTTCCATATATTTTGCTTTTATATATGTTCAAGATACCCATGTTAGGCCTAGGTTTCACCCCTGGCGTGGGTTGCAATGTTAATTTATGTTGTATAACTCTTTACTCATACTGCCGACGTATCTCACCAACACATAACGACATTTTCCCTTACGGACCCACGCCTTCACCCCCTCCCCTCCCACAGACTGACCCACCCCGACACGCAAATAGGCGCACATGCATACCCGTCTGACTCGGGCCCACTCCCCAGCCCCCCCGATGGCCCCAGGACCCGTGGATGTCACGACAGCCACTCAACATGGCGGGTTGGGAGCCGCGGGACACAGGTGCTGACAACCCACGTATTTGAGGAACAGACTCTGTAGGTGGCCCTCCACGCACCTCACGCAACTGACCTCCCCTGTACATAGGACCGGGGTTCGACGAGACTCTCCCATACTACAGTCTCCTGAACTCCACTACCCGGTTAAGGTTCAAACGTTGCATTGACCACCCCCTCCCCATCCCTCCGCAGCCACCCCCCCCCTCCCCTATGGACCCCCCCCCTCCGAACAACCATACCACAGAGGCCCAAATGGGGTTTAGCCCAGCCTTACTCACTTACTGGTCCAACAACACTGGGGGCCTTAACCAGCCGGAGAAGCGCTCCCACCTGCTCCGCCGTCTCTGGGCGGAGAGGGTGTCCGTAGCGTTCCTGCAGGAGATGCACTTTCGGGGCCCGGACGCACCTAAACTAGAAAATAAACGTTTCAATTTGGCTTACTACGCCAATCACCCAGACGCTAAGAGAGCAGGTGTAGCGATACTCTTTGCACACACTGTACCCTTCAGACATACTGCGACCCACATGGATCCTGGAGGGAGATCTCTCTTTGTCAAAGGCACGATTGCCGACCACACATACACATTCGCTAGCATATACAGCCCCAACCGCGGCCAACACACCTTTCTCTCTCGCACCCTAACCAAGCTCAACAAATTTAGAGAGGGCCTCTTGATAGTAGCAGGGGACTTGAATATGCCACTAGACCCACTCCTGGATACGTCCCGCAGAACTAGTACACTACCACCACACTGCTTACGGACCGCCACCAAGGCACTGAACGGACTGGGCCTTGTAGACTGTTGGAGAACCGCACACCCAGACGACAGGGACTATACGCACTTCTCCCACGTCCACCACCGCTACAGCCGCATTAATTACATATTTATGCCCCAAGAATACCTTTCCCTACTTCACGACGCTCACATTGGACTCACGACCCACTCCGACCACGCTCCGGTTAAAGTACGCACAAGCTCACCCCTCTATAAACCCAGGGACAGACAGTGGAAGCTCAACGTAACCCTGCTGAATGACCCGGTTTCCCGCGCATCCGCGCTTCAAACGATCACTCAATATTTTGACACTAATGACGACCCAGACACACCCCCCCCTGACGATCTGGGAAGCACATAAAGGTGTCCTGAGAGGCCATTACATCGCCGTCTGCACACAGCGCAAAAAAGACAGACACAGGCGCATCACTACCCTCACATCCAAGGTATCTGCCTTGGAAACCACACACAAACAAACGCTAGACGATAACACCTACCTTCAACTGACCGAAGCCCGGAGAGAACTTAGGGACCATCTCTCTCAGGAGCTGTTGCACACTCTGGCCAAATCGGCCAGGTACTTCTATGAACACTCCAACAAAAGCGGTAGACTCCTAGCAAAAATGCTCCAGGCACGAAGGAGGGCGCAACATATCCATAAGATAAACACTCGGGACCACCGTAGCACTAGACACCCGGAAGGCATACTTGAAGCATTTCAGGCCTACTACAAAGACCTATACAACCAGACACTGACCACTCACGGGACAGCCCAACAGACACACCAACGGACGATCTCAGACTACCTATCCCAACACATAACCAAAACGCTCTCCCAGGAACAATCGGAGGATCTAGAGCAACCCCTAACTCTCGAGGAACTCAAGGGAGCCCTGAAAAGCATGAAACCCCACAGGGCACCCGGCCCGGACGGGCTGCCGATCTCCTACCTCCTCACTTTTAGCGACGCTTTACTGCCCAGGCTCCTGACAGGACTGAACTCGATCCGCGAAGGCGGACGGTTCCCGACAGACACCATAGCCGCCACGATCACAATAATTCACAAAGACGGTAAGGACCCGACTAATTGCTTGGTTCGGCCGCATACAAGCGCTAAAGATGAACGTCCTCCCCAGACTTCTGTATCTATTCGCGACGCTACCTGTCGCAATCCCACAATCATTCTTCCGCACCCTGACACGGGAAATCCGAAGCTTTGTTTGGAACCGTTCCGTGTCCCGCATACGCAGGTCCACGCTGGAACGACCAAAGGCTGCGGGGGGAGCCGGGCTCCCCTCCGTGTAGCTATATTATCAGGCCACACACCTGCAGAGGTTGGAGGATTGGCACGCACGCCCAAGTACCAAAAGATGGGTGCCCATGGAGATCCAGCAGACGAAGGGGGCAGTCACGGCCAGACTCTGGCTCGGCTCGCTCACCTACTCGGAGCTCCGAACCCAAAACCCACTCATCGATGCCACCCTTGGAGTCTGGTGCAAACTGCGCTTCACTCACCGACTCACCACATCACCTAACCCGTTCACCCCGATCGCTTACAACCCAAACTTAGCAGGGGGCCTCCCTCCCGCGGCCTTTCGGAACTTCCACCAGACTGACTGGATCTACTTACACCAATGGACTGTTGACAGGAACCTCAAACCGCTGCCCGACGCCATAACTACCCAGCATCCGACCCCTCTTGACAGGTTCCGCTACCACCATGTGAAAACTTGTCACTAGGCAATGACAGTCCACTAGGGTTTACGGAAAAATGGGAACGAGAGACGGGCACGCACTTGACTACCCAGGAGTGGGAGAAAATCTTTCTTTTAACTCACAAATGCTCCATAAGCTCCAAATACCAAGAGATGAGCTATAAATTACTCACACAATGGTATAGGACCCCGGAGGTACTAAGACACATGCATGACACAGCCTCTGGAGAATGCTGGAGATGTAACTCCACCCTAGGCTCCAACCGCCACATCTGGTGGTCATGCCCCCGCATAGTTCAGTACTGGCAATTGATACACACTAAGATTAAGGAAATCACGGACTCAGACCTCCCACTGCAACCACTGCCAATGCTCCTTCACCACACATCCACTCCTACACAACTATACAAAAAAATCCCTCACGATACACCTGCTCTCCGCCGCAAAAAGCCTAATTCCACTGCACTGGAAAAGCCAGAGAGTACCCACCTACACACAGTGGGTGGATAAGGTGGAGGAAATCCATAACATGGAAATGATGACTGCGTCCCTGCGGGAGCGCTCGGACAAATGTGCCCTCCTCTGGTACCCCTGGACATCTTACACGGCACGGAGACAGGCATGACCCCCAAACTCACTCCTCCAAGAGACCCCTGATATACCTACCAGTTAACCCCACCCCAACGCCACTGTTCGAACCCCAACTCAGATATCCCCCCTTCCCCCTTGTCTGTGACATGCCAAGACTAGACATCGCCAGAGCTCTGTCAGCCCACTGGGCTGAGAATTCGACCACCGACTTCTCACGGGGCTCTCAACCCCTCCCTCTAAGCAAGGTGTTAACCCTCCAACAAATACCGAAGTACAATCACAACCCCCTGAACAACACAAACTCACCTATATTGGCACACCTGAGCCGCACCTCAAGGCCCCGACTGAGAACCGCCTAGGCGGGCACACCGCAAGGTGAGGGCTCATAGACTATGGGAAACACACCGACTGTAACCCCGAACCACTACCAGAGCTGACGATCTATTAAGGTATATGTCACGCACTGTAACTTGATATTTGTTTACCCCCCCTCCCCCACCCTTTTCTTTTTTTCTGTCTCCCATCCTGATTTGAAAAACTTAATAAATAAAGAATGTCAAAAAAAAAAAAAAGAAAGATCAGCCGAACAAACAAACACTGTGTATCAGTGTATCTGAGTATCAGTGTTAGTTTGTTCGTTCAGTTTATTACAAGGAGGGAGCTACCGGCGAGCAGCTCCCTCCTTGTAATATGTAACTATAGAAGCGGCAGGGAGCAGTGCTCCCCGCCACTTCATAAGCCCCCCCAGGTCCCCCTCTCACTCTATGGGGGTCAATATGAGTCAATATGAGTCACCCCCCCACCCAAAAAAAAACTATCCCCTACCTACCCCCCTCACCCTAAAAATAGTGAGGGGGGAATAAAATAACTAACCTGTAAAAAAAAAATTAAACTTACCATTTGACGTCTTCTTTTTTCTAAAATCTTCTTTCTTCAGCCCCCAAAAAGGCCAAATAAAAATCCATCATACCCGTCGCACTTTAAAAAAAAAAAAAAAACGAGCGCAAAATTTTTTTTATCCATGTTAGCCCTACGAGGGCACGCCGCGTACTGAGCTCGCAGGGCGGGTCAAGGCTTATAAAGCCTTGCCCTGCCCTGCAATTAGGCTTAGAACACTCTGATTGGTGGGGTTAAGCCAATCAGAGTGCTCTGTGTCATTTTACACAGCGTGGGAAAGTTCTTTTGAATTTTCCCACGCTGTGTAAAATGACTCATAACACTCTGATTGGTGGATTAAGTAACCAATCAGAGTGTTATGAGTCATTTTACACAGCGTGGGAAAATTCAAAAGAACTTTCCCACGCTGTGTAAAATGACACAGTGCACTCTGATTGGGTGGCTTGAAAGCTCAGGGGTGGGGACCGGGGGGGAGGAGAGTAGGTCCCCCCCTTATTGTTTTATTAGGGCCCCCACCCACCGCTCAGGGGTGGGGGCCAGGGGGGGAGGACAGTAGGTCCCCCCCTTATTGTTTTATTAGGGCCCCCACCCACCGCGCAGGGGTGGGGGCCAGAGGGGGAGGACAGTAGGTCCCCCCCCTTATTGTTTTATTGGGGCCCCCACCCACCCACCGCGCAGGGGTGGGGACCAGGGGGGGAGGACAGTAGGTCCCACCCACCGCGCAGGGGTGGGGGCCAGGGGGGGACAGTAGGTCCCCCCCTTATTATTTTATTGGGGCCCCCACCCACCGCTCAGGGGTGGGGGCCAGGGGGTGGAGGACAGTAGGTCCCCCCCCCCTTATTGTTTTATTAGGGCCCCCACCCACCGCTCAGGGGTGGGGACCAGGGGGGGAGGACAGTAGGTCCCCCCCCTTATTGTTTTATTAGGGCCCCCACCCACCGCTCAGGGGTGGGGGCAAGGGGGGAGGACAGTAGGTCCCCCCCCCCTTATTGTTTTATTAGGGCCCCCACCCACCGCTCAGGGGTGGGGGCCAGGGGAGGAGGACAGTAGGCCCCCCCCCTATTTGTTTTATTAGGGCCCCCACCCACCACGCAGGGGTGGGGGCCAGGCGGGGGGGGACAGTAAAAACACAAATGGGGAGAAAAAAAATATTCACAATTTTTTAAAACAGTTTTCTTTCTGCATGAAATACTGGTGGGGTGCTGCCCCAACTGTACCTATGGTGAAGCCTCCACTGCTAAAGAGTTTGTCTTACAATATTCTAATATATATATATATATATATATATATATATATATATATATATATATATATATATGTATATATAAAAAAACAAACAAAAAAAAACCTGGCTGTTTCTTTGCAAAAAACAGAATATTCAAGGCTATAATTGACATGTTTGCAAGAAGGTTTTTTCTCTTTTTGTGGCATAATTAAAAATGGGTACAGTTGGGGTTTTGCCTTGTTTGAATCAACAGCATTAAAGAATAGGTTTCAATTCTGAACTTGATGGATATATTTGTTTTTTTCCCTTCCTAGATTTATAAGCATCTGTATTAGGTTGTATTATATTATATTTA